CATATTCTCTGAATATCTTTTGGAGGAATTTAATAGAAAAAAAATTCTTTGAAACCCTTGAGGTTGTGCGTGGGGTAAGTGTGGGGTTGAATGCACAAATGGACTTCCAGAGACTGCTCATTGCTATTTTGGAATTGTTGAACAGCATAAATGAGAAAATACACTAAAAGCTGTGAAGATGAATCAGTTGGGATGGAACTGGGAACATTTATTAAGTCTGTACCAGAACTTTCATATCGTATAGTTTCATCAGAATTGGCAGACCTCTCTGCCGAAGCAGATGGTGCTGACTCATAAGGGTTAAGGTTCCAAGAAAGGATACCACTGCATATTTATTAGGATGGTAAAATTAAAAAGACTGTCAAGAGTTGGTGTAGATGTGGAGTGTTGGTAAAGATGTGGAGTAACTGGAACTCTCATACTTTACTAGTAGGAATGCAAAATGGTACAAGTACTTTGAAAAATAATGTGGCAGTTTCTTATAAGGTTAAATATACACATACCATATAACTCAGCGGTCTCATTCCTAAGTGTTTACCCAAAAGACATAATCACACATGTCTACAAAAAGAATTGTGCTGAAAAGTTCATAGCAGCTTTATACATAAAAGCCAAATGTCAGCAACTAATGAATAAACAGATTATGGTATACTTATTTAATAGAATACTACTTAGCAATAAAAAGGGACAAACCACTGACACTGGAACAAATGGCTGAATCTCAAAAGCATTCTAGTAAGTGAAGGAAGCCAGACATAAGACAGTACTTTTAAATTCCATTTATAGGAAATATTAGAAAAGGCAAACGATAATGACAGCAGATCAATGATTTTTAAGGGTGGAGGAGTGTTTGTGTGTGTGTGTATATATATATACATACACGCATACATATACATATACGTGTGTGTGTGTATGTTTGTGTGTATATAAATGCAAAGGGCCTTAGGGAACTTTTGGGGGTGATGGAAATTTTCTATATCATGATGGTGAAAGTGGTTATTGATACCTCTGTCTAACATTTAATTGTACACTTAAAATTGCTTTATTGTATGTAAATAATACCTCAAAAATTCAGTTGGAAATCTTTAAAAATATTCAACAAGTAAAACACCACAAACTTCAGCTTTTGAAGCTCCTTAGCAAATTGCAATTATTAAAGGAAAAAAAGCTCACACACAGGAAGACGTTGTGATTTATCCATCCAAAAGTAAGGAGGAACTGAACTATTTTAAGAAATCAATGAAAATTCATTCACCTAGCATACAAGGTTCAGTTTTAAATTCTATGATTGCATTTTGGAATACCTCTTGATAATACTTATTTGTAATTGGCTAGATTTATATTCTATCCTAAAATGGAATGAATTGAGAAGATATTTAATTTGGTATAGTAATAATACAGTTTCCAGAAATACAAATTATTTGGCAAGTTTTGTAAAAATATTTGTCAGATAAAGTTTCTTTAAATGGATTAAAAAATATAGTACCTATGATGTATTTGGGCAAATATATTTTACACTTCAAGAAAAAAAATCAGTATTGATAATGTCCTCCTCTTAGTAGAATTCGCTGTATATAGGTATCTAGCACTTTTATTTTTTCAATTTAAAATGTTATGATCCACAGAAAATAATGAAGTTTTTCAAATTAATAACTTAAAATGCAATTTTGGGGATTTAGGGTAAGTTTATTTTAAAAAAACAATGATAAGCCCTTACAGGAAAAGAAAAAAAATCAATCATTAGAAAAATACCAGTGCAGAGTATTAAAGGCAGATATGACTGAGAAGCTGATTCTCTGATATATGTATACCTGTGTGTGTGTGTGTGTGTGTATACACACACACGCGCACATATTTGCATATATATAAAGTAACATACAAATTACTACACAGACTACTTTGAAAATGAACATAATGGGATTTATTTTTTTTTACTTTAATAAAGATGGATATGTTTTAGTTCTTAGATCTGATTTTATTTTTTAAATTAAAACGAAAGTATAAATTCAGGAAATAATAAAACCAAATTGAGAGTCAGTAAATACATCTTTCGTATTTATGCAATTCAACTCTTTTTTAGCACCCTCTTTTTACTTTAAGTAACATTCTAGTATGGATATAGAATATATAAACACCCCAGCTATAACAGAACAGTACTGCAATTGCTATACAGAATAATCTCAGAAAATCTCACTACAATACTATAAAGGGGTATCAGTATCCTCTTTTAAAGATAGGAAGCTGTGACTCATGGTAAATAAGCAATTTGCTCACAGTCACAAGCCTTGGAAGTGAAAGCCTGTCCAAATTCAAAGTTTATCCGTTCTAGGATATGAAAGTGATGCCAATTTAATTTCTGTTTCCTACAAACCGCAGTGCATAGAGACCGAAAGTGCAAAGTTTATGTAAAAAACCAACATTACTTTAGCTTTTTCTTGTTTGGTCTCTTTTTAGAGACCCGTTAGTGCCCCTGAAATATGGCTGCTGGATAAGTTTGCAGGGTTTGGCAGTTCTCTTTCAAGACTCTTGGGGTTATGCCAAAAGGACAGGGTCCCATGGGAATTTGGTCTGAATTTTCATCCAAATGAACACCTGCTGTCATTGTTCCTTATCCATCCTGTAGTCAGCAAGGCCAGCTCTCTCTTTGTGGGTGGGACCCATTCAACACACGGAAAAGGCATACCAGTGTTCCTCACGAGTTTTTATTTTTCCCCTCTCTTTCCTACATGATTCTTTGCTGGAGTGTCTTGGAGATAGAGGAGCGAAGGTTAAGTTTATCTTTGGCCATTTGGTGTTCTGTATTTCTAGGAATTTAGGCAGTTATAGTCTAGTCTACATAAATGGTCTTCTTTTGATACTCTCTCTTTCCTCCTTCCTCCTCTCTTTTCCTTTCTCCCTCTCTCTGTACTATTTGTGTTGCTTTGGAAAGGAGGAGATCTGTTATTGCAAAAGCGTATGCTTATAAAGCAAATTATCTGACACAATCTGCTTTTAGAAGTTTCAGTGCTATAACTTACAGAAACAAATAATTCAAGCAGAGGTAAATTCAATGATAGTCTCCCTGTGGATAACTAATATTGATCATTCATTCTTAGTACTTGATTCATATTTCTTTACTTTTGTTTAACTGGTCTGTTGGATGTATGCATTTAATTATAAGGTATTCCAGATTGATTTTGAACCAGATTAGGGATAAAGTCAAAATAAGTGATTTTTAAAATTAATGATAATGCCACATAATATATCATACTCAGATTTTTTCTATAATTTCATACCACAGTAAGACAAGTGCACATTCTCAAAAAAGCATATTTATGACTTATTAGTGAGAATTTTTTAAAGAGGAAGAAACTCTGTGACTGGGTTTTAGAGCTGTTGAACCAATAGAGGTGAACACCTTGATATTCTTACTTAGGAAACCAGGAAATTGACCACACATATATAACAGAGTTATATCTTAGGATATCAAACCATAGAATTTTTAAATAACTTTTTTTATTTTACAAGTGTTGTTTCAGTATGCACCTATCTATACCTTTGTGTCCTATACACGTGGATTAATTCAATTACTCAACAATTTTTAGAGGATAAAATTGTACAGAAAAAACTAGAGTTCTATCACAGCTGTATCTTGCAGGGAAAAGCAGCTCTCGGTCTGCCATCTGCAGCGGGCATTGGTCCCTCTCTTGTTGTGCCTCATGCTTTGTTATGCATGAGTAAGCACATTAGCCTTTTCATTTCATTCATTAGACTTTTAATCCTTGATTAGTGTTTTCAGGATTCTCTCAAATACACAACTTCTTTATTTCCTTTGTGTTTGGTTTTTCTTTTTCTTTTATCTCTACTATGAAACGAAATTAACCGTTAATCTCTAAAATAGCCCCATTTCCTTTGAGATTACTGGTAAATATATTAGTTTCTCATTGGAGTGATTAATCTTGTGTAGATGAAGCATGGGAAATTATCTCCCTGCTTGGAATAACAGGGCCAACTATTAAAAGTCAGCAAGAACAGTCTGTACTTGAAAAGCCTGAATCAAAGTATTCTACCAATTTCACACGTTGTGTGATTCTGTATCATAGAAACTCTGAATGAATTTCCTAAAAGGGAGAAACATCCATTAGGGTGCAGAACTGGTGCATTTGAGGTCTCAGAGTTCAGTTACACTTGTCCCCAGTTCTCCAAAAATAAATTTTTCCCTTTGTTGTTTTTCTCCATTAAGCAAGATATGTCAGAAAGTAGCTTGTGGAATGAACAGTTAATAATTACACATCCAGTACACTCTTAGCCAACTTTGAAGCCACATATTATACTTACCTTTACTAGATATGCACCCTCAAATGATACTTTTACCCATAATTAATCTCAAAGGACTAGTAGCTTCTCCACCTGATCATTTCTCCACTTAAGCCATTCTTCTAGTTTTTGTGTAACAATATTTTCAACTACTTTTTGACATTTATGTTCATATGAACTATCTTAAACATACTTTAAGCATGAGGCCAAAACCAATTATTAAAGGAGATATATAAATTAAATAGAAATCAGGGCATTCCCTGGTGGCGCAGTGGGTGAGAGTCCGCCTGCCGATGCAGGGGACACGGGTTCGTGCCCTGGTCCAGGAAGATCTCACATGCCGGGGAGCGGCTAGGCCCGTGAGCCATGGCCGCGGGGCCTGCGCGTCTGGAGCCTGTGCTCCGCAACAGGAGAGGTCACAGCAGTGAGAGGCCCGCGTAGTGCAAAAAAAAAAAAAATTAAATAGAAATCAATTCCTAGAAGTAAATATGAAAAGTAACCAATGGTGACTAAATCACACTTGCACGGAATTTATGTGGATTACACATTTCTGCCTACTAGCAGAATATCTTCTTTGCAATGACATTGTTTAGGAAAAGTTAATTTAAAATATTAGTCTTCAATTTTTTCTCTTTTAATCGTTATTTCCACAAGATAATAGGATCATAAACTGTCTTATTTTTTGTTTCTGTTTCTCTTCTTAGGATGCTTCCATTGCTCACAGATTCCACATCATGAGAGAAAAACACCCAGAAAAATTCAATAGTAGGTAAGATAACATATTTTAATTATGGTTGCTGTTGATGAACTATGTCATAAAAAAGATCACTGTATGGTATAAAGCACTTTACATACAATGACTGAATAAGGCTTGGTGTATGTGTAAATATTAAGACAAAAGTGTTCATTTTTCTTGTTAGGTTTTAGTGAGGTTATAATGAGGAATACAGTGTGGTCATATCTAAGCCCATTCTTATGTGCTGAGAAGAAAGATTTCAAGTGTAAGGTAAAAATAGTACCTTATTAAGATATACTGGAAGTCTTTACATGGCTAAGTATATGAGGAGTGATCATCCTAAATCCCAAGGAAAAACATGAGGCTCTGATTTGATCATGATGAGTAACTGTACATTACGTAGGTATCATATAAGACCTTTAATCTTTGTACTACAGTCCTATATGGGCCTCAGCTAAATGGAAAATAAACCAGAGAAATATCAATGCTGACAAAAACTACTTTTAAAGACTTTGTCTTCCCAGTGAAAAAGCCTTGAAAACCAAAATAGGCAGAAATTATTTCCTCTAAAATGTAGATGTTGACTTTTTTCTGATACTCAGGGAAGTAGAGAAAGCTTTGGCTTTGTTATCTTCCCCATTTCTAGAAGGAAATATGGCTATCTCCACCCCACTGGCCAGGAAAAATTGGGCAGAAGCAGTGAATCATCTTTTGCTTCAGTTATACCCATTTCTACTCTGTTCATTTCACAGAGGTACAAAATCATAATCAGCATTTATATAGAGTTATTTAAGTGCTTTATATATTACTGTTCAAAGTCAATATGGTCTCTGTATTTGGCTACATTGACATTGTACCATAAATGTTACAGAACACATAAGACAACTGCTCCTGGAAATTCTTATGTTTATTTCAGTTTTGTCATACACTAGTAGATTGACATAATTTTCTTCCAGGTAGTTTCATAATAAATAAATGCAGTTAAAATGTATTTTTAAATCTGTTTTAGATTTTTCTTAACTGTAGAGTTTAGTGTACTACTTTATACAAGAATCATCATATTAAATAGTTTCATGGTTAGTGAGACCCTATCTGATTTTTCATTATATTGATCTATTTAAATGTTTTAGCAAGACATATGAAAACATATTTGTAAAATGTGCCTTAGGTATTGCCTTAATGATAAATCATGATGCTGTGGTTTGCTCTTTCTTTCATAGTTCAGACATCTATGATTTTTGTTTTAAGGAAAATGGAAAAAGTGTATAATGAATATGTGTATGTGCACATAATATCTTTAGAAGGATTCACAAAAATCTTTTAACTTTGGTTTCTTCTGGAAAAGAGAACCAAGTGGTTGGGATGGATACTGAATTTTTATTGTACTGTTTGAATTTTATGCCATGTATATTACAAAATTAAAAGTCAAAAGTAATTTCATTAAAATTTTACACCTGTTTTTTTATATCTAGAATAGACACTTTCATTTTACAAGATTTAATTTTATTTCATGAAATCTATGAAAAAATTGATGTAACAATGAAATTATATTCACTTTGTAGTATATTTCAGCACTTGATGACCCATCTTGAATGTTCTGGAAATGAACATATTTTTTAATGCACATAAAGCCATACTATAGAATCAGCTATCCTATGCTTACCCCAGTGCCATTCTGTGAAGCATTCATGTGTTGATATTCGTATATTAAAATAGGTTTCTAGCAAAAAAAAAAAAATGCTATTTGAAAAATGCTGCATACAGTATGCCCCACCAGGAGTTTTACAGTTTAAAAGCCCATTAAAGGAATTAAGAAATGCTTAAGGGGGAAAATTTTTGTCCCAAACTTCTTCAGCAGAGGGAGGAGAGAAGAGAGAAGGAGGGAGGGGAGAAAACCAGAGAAACAGAGAGAAAGACAGACATGGGGGAGGGGGGATGTATCAGTATGTTTAGGTGATGCTCAAATTTGACAGCCTATATTTAAGAATGCCAATATTTATGATCCTCCCTCAAGTATAAAAGGTAATCAGTTCTGTTCTCCAGAATAATTTTAATTCTTTTTAATAAGACTTCTGTTATTTACATATAACTATTTAAGTTTTTATTTTCAATTGCAGTACTGATTTATGACATTGCTCACTGCCCAACATGTGCTTAGATGCCATTTACTACTAATGTGTTTCCTAATGTGTTTATATACCCCGATGAATTTATAAGATGTAACATTACATCTTATTGAAACTTACTTGTAAATTTAAGTCACAAGTAAATCTTGCTTATATAGTTTAAAGGGGATATTTCATTTGGAACAGTAATAACGTAGAAAACACCTTCTAGATTGTTATAGGTCACATGTTTCTGTTGTGAGTTCAAAGAATGCCAGGTATATCAGTGGATGCTCAGTAAATTATCGCCAACTGTTTTTTAAGCCCTAAATTTATATACATCACCAAGTTAATTATCCATATACATTTCAATCTGTACGTTTGTAGGTTGTCTTCACTCAGAGTTACAAGCATTTAGGTAATTCTCTAAACTGCAATACAACATATTCAGATTATGAAAATGTTCTAATAAATTTCTATGAGGAAGACATGCCAAGCTTGTGCACAAGCAGTTTCATACTTACAAGGACAGATATCCAGATTTCAACATTGAGACAGGTTCAGCTATAGCACTTTCATATTTTCAGGAATTTGCAAATGGATTTTTTTAAGTACTCCGAATAATGGTGTTTCAGATCAGATCTTTTGTCACAATAAATCACACGCCATTAATATTATCCTCTAGCATGCTCACCTTGAAATTCATTTATATTTTAAAGAACATGATGTTTCTAACATTATCTTAAGGAAATTAATTACCAAAATATATAGTTCTCTCTATGCTTCTTATGACAGAAATTGAAAGAACTGGGAAAGATAATGATTTTTCCGGTGGTGCTTAAGAGAGTGCTAGTTGAGAGGTTTATATCATATTCTTTTCCAAATTTCTATGTAAATCTAAGTTAACTGTTAAAAGGAAATATGCTGTTCAACTCTCTAAACTTTAAGATAGTCTTCAAACTGAATTTAAATAAATATTTCTGTTGTTTTAAGCTGGAAAAAAATAATTCTTAAAGTATCTATGCTACTATTTAAAACCCTTTATTACATAATATTGGTATATAAAATATTTATATAACTTGACTATTACTATTTACCATCACACTGATGCTCATAATTCAAATATATTACACATTTCCGGGTTTTATTTAGTAAAAGCATTTTAAGTTCTTGCTTTTTTTAAAAAAGATATTAACAATTGTACATAAACACACTATAATATCTATCTATTAACATTATAATTATGAAGGGTTATAATAATTTTGGAGAAAATGTAAAATGGTTGAATTCCATGTGTAAATCTGTGTATCATTGACAAGGACTTACAGGTAATATGCAAAATGGAACTAACTATAGAAAAAGTATCGATGGTTTACAAAGATTTCTTAATATTGTAGTCATAGCTTGTTTTTAAAGAACCAATTCAAAATCTTAATACACAACACTTAATACACCTGCTAACAAATACTGAGGGTTAGCAATATTGCACAAAGATACTATTTCATTGTCACATTGATCACTTAAAACTATCTGGTCGGGCTTCCCTCGTGGCGCAGTCGTTGAGGGTCCGCCTGCTGATGCAGGGGACACGGGTTCGTGCCCCGGTCTGGGAGGATCCCACATGCCGCGGAGTGGCTGGGCCCGTGAGCCATGGCCACTGAGCCTGCGCGTCCGGAGCCTGTGCTTCACAGCGGGGAAACTCTCTGGTCTCTAACTCCCTGAATGAAACAAAGATCGTTTTCTTAGCCCCCTGTTCAAGAGGTATGTGCCTTGTTTCTGTACTACTTTCAGCTTTTTTGTGAAGACATCTACAACTAGAAAACTGAAACGGATATGTAAATTTAAATAAGGCAGTTTAACTCAGAATCTAGGTAGTGATATAAGATATGACAGAGGGGCTTGCCTTCTAAATGTGTGAGAAGAAAGAAAACTGAAAAATTGGTGTTCCAGACTGTTAATTTGGTGTTACTATATTAATAAAAACTAATTTTGAAAAGATTCTGTGCTCTGCACATTACTCAAGAAATTAAATTAGTCTACATGAATTTAGAAAATGTGCCTATACCTTTAAGATGACACTCATTCTGTGGAATGATTCTTGATTTTTTTTTCTGACAATAGGCTTTAAGATCATGGAATGAGACTCTCTTTGGGACGTTAGTATCTACACAGTGCATGGAATATAATGAGCACTCAATAGATACTTGCTAAATGTATTCCTTACATTATTTAGTAGTAAGTGGTGTATTTGTTTCAAAATATCTTACTACTTTTATAGTTTGTGCTTTTTATAGTGCCAAAAAAGATAATAGAAAGAGAGTTGAAATATGCCTAGAATGAGTTTTGATCCTCAATGACTATTCTTTTAGGTACTAAAAGGTTTTTTGGTATTCTTTTTTTTGGCTATACGCGGGCCTCTCACCGTTGTGGCCTCTCCCGCTGTGGAGCACAGGCTCCGGACGCACAGGACGCGCAGGTCCAGCGGCCATGGCTCACGGGCCCAGCCGCTCCGCGGCACGTGGGATCCCCCCGGACCGGGGCACGAACCCGCGTCCTCTGCATCGGCAGGCGGACTCCCAAGCACTGCGCCACCAGGGAAGCCCTGGTATTCTTGTATTTAATATCCAAGGACCCCAGCCAGCAGTGTTAACAAACAAAAATTTTACAATATAAATTCCTGAGCTCTGTGAATGCCTTGCTAATGAATGCTTACTTATAGATTTGTTTTAGCACTTGTATTATCAACTTTATCGGTTAGCAATAATTCTTAATGATTATTAATTATTTATTAGTCAAAACAGGTCACAGTATATTCTTACAATTCAACAAAATAAATGTTCAAATCTTCACAAGCAGTGTTTAAATTCTGTGTGGCATTTTATTTTAGGCATTTGACCTCACTTTTGCATCCATCAGTCAAGACAACTT